CAAATAAACAAAACATATTCATTTGTGTGGCCAAACATAACTGCACCTGTATTTAGAAACACAACTGACAGATTGGAATTAGAAATTGACCTTTGCTCAAAGAATATTGTAGCTTTTAGCTCACAACAGCCTCTCCGTACGAGCTAATTGTTAGATTTAGAGAAGGTGATAACTTACAATCTGCAAAAAGTTTCCTGAGATCAAGTTCAAGGACTTCACTTGTACCACTGTGGTCATTAAAAGTGAACGTCATAGCAGTTATTGTGTCGCTTTCCGCAAGACTGTTACAGAGAGCACATAACCATTCTTCACTCACTTTAATGAAGGTGGTTACAGTAACACTGACAACTGTTAATGACTTACTTCTTCCTATACTGTCTCCCAGATCAAGTGGCCAGTCTTCCCTCAGGTCACCGTAGTTGTTGATTGTAACACTTAGTGTAGTTAATGAAGTATTTTTTGCCAAACAATCACCCAGACCAACTGTCAAGACTCCACTCAGGTCACTGTAGTTGTTGAGTGTAAGACTTAGTGTAGTCAATGAAGTATTTTTTGCCAAACCATCATCCAGGGCATGTGCCAAGTCTTGCCTCAGGTCATTGTAATTGTTGAATGTAAGACACAGTGTAGTCAATGAAGCATTGTTCGCCAAACCATAACCCAGACCATCTAACTCGTCTCCACTCAAGTCACTGCAGTTGTTGAATGTAAGACTTAGTGTAGTTAATGAAGTATTGTTCGCCAAACCATCACCCAGACGATGTGTCCAGTCTTCACTCAGGTCACTGTAGCTGTTGAATGTAACACTTAATGTAGTTAATGAAGTATTGTTCCCCAAACTACCCAGACCACGTGACCAGTCTAGACGCAGGCCACCGTAGCTGTTGATGGTAAGACTTAGTGTCGTTAATGAGGTATTTTTTGCCAAACCATCACCCAGACGACGTGCCCAGTCTTCACTCAGGTCACTGCAGTTGTTGATTGTAAGACTTAGTGTAGTTAATGAAGTATTTTTCACCAAACCATAATCCAGACCATCTGTCCAGTCTTCACTCACGTCCCTGCAATTGTTGAATGAAAGACTTGGTGTAGTTAATAAAGTATTTTCCGCCACACCATCACTCAGATCACGTGCGCAATCTTCATTCAGGCCACTGCAGTTGTTGAATGTAAGACTTAGTGTAGTTAATGATGTGTTTTTTACCAAACCATCACCCAGACCGCATGCCCAGTCTACTCTCAGGTTCTTGCAGTTGTTGAATGTAAGATTTAGTGTAGTTAATGACGTGCTTTTTGCCAAACCATCTCCCAGATTGCGTGCCCAGTCTAAACCAAAGAAATCCTGGTTAGAGATGTTGAGGCTTAGAATTCTTGCGCTGTTCTGCTCAACTTCGGTAAAGACTGAGGTTAATGCTGAAGAAACGTTGATTGTATCATTAAGATCTTTACAAATCCAGGGATCTGAGGCCACATTACAGACATTCAAGGCAACCGAATATTTTACATTACACTCTAACTCTTGAAGAGCACTGCTTCCACATCTGGTTAGTTCTCCCCAAATGTTGATACTGAGAGAGGACAGGGTCTTGCATGGCTTTAAATACCTTACAAGAAATTCAGCGACATTATCTGTTACTTTTCCATGGATGTTCAAAGTGACACAAGAAGCTGACGATGTTATCAAGAGGTTACAGAGAGTGCCTGCCCCAGTACAGCTCAACTCGCCCCAAAGGTTTAAAGTTAATGACTGAAGTTTAAAACCAGGGCAAAGACCAGTCACCTGTTCCTTTGATATGGTTCCAGTGATATTTGGATGAAATGCAACTGATGTCTTTGACTTTTTTGCCTCTAGTACTTTCTCAACGACAGTCACCCAGTTGTTGGGGAGCTCTCCAAACACTTTCACTTCCAAAGAATTTAAGGCACTGTTTTCCAGAAAACCTCTTCTTAAGAAGATAGCACCAGAATAGCTTACTTTCCCATACATGATCAGAGTGAGGGATTTTAAAATGGATTCTGTTCCAAGTGCTTTGCCAACAGAAGTAGCTAGTGAATCCTGCATCTCACCATAGACGATGAGTGTGAGAGAGGCCAGAGATCTGTTGGATAGAACTTTTTTCAAACCCCCTAATGCGTTAGCACTCAGTGACCCATAAATCTTGAGGACAATAGACGTCAATGGTGTGTCTGCAGACAATCCTTCTTCTAGAGCACTGGCCCATGCCTCATTACACTCATTTAACAATTCGAATGTTACAGTTGTTAAGGTCTTATTAGTAACCAAACTGTCCCCAATAATAACAGCCTGATCCGAAGAGATACCAGATGCTGCTCTAAAAGTAAAGGAAGATATAGTTGAGTTTCGAGAAAGTCCTTCAAACAAATTAGTCACAGGTGTTCGTGCCAGTGACAAGCCAGATAGATGAAAGGAGAATGTTTGTAGCTTTGGACAGGAAACTAAGAATTTAGCAACCATTTTTAGACCCTCATTTAGTAGGAAATCAGCATCTACAATTTCAATGGTGAGATGAACAGGGTGCTGTAATTGTGGAAAATTACTGCAGGCTTCTGCAACCATCAAAATATGTGCATTTATAGTTTCATCTCTCCTTTCAAAGTTTCCAATTTCTACAGTCAGTGGAAATGGGATGAAGGAACAAAGAGTCACTGCCATTTGCTCAGCATTTTGACTTTCACTGAAACTTTCAGTGAAAAAAGTAGCTTCTTCTTTAGAGCACTTGAGCCAGTCCCAGTCTTCACCTGCAAGTGTCTCACCAATCTGTTTGAAAAGAACACTAGCGTCCTTGCCCAGGATACCAGACACAAAGAGAAACACTTGCCGGTATTTGACAGTGATTTCAGAAAACTTGAACTTTAAATCAACGAAAACGTTCAATTCTTCTTTTAGGAGCTTGCATGCCAGATATGTTGCGGCCAAGTACTCTTGAAAAGTCTTGTGAAAAAAGTGATACTCATGCTGTGGATTTATCCTCTTCACACTGGCTTCCTTGAAAACAAGGCCAAGTTTGCGAGCTGCGAGGTCTTTAATTTTACTTTCAAATTTTGCCAGTTCTTCTTCACGAAAAGAAAACTGACCTTCTAGCAGGCATCTCCAAGCTAACTCTCCCAATACCAGTAAACTATCTTCAAACTGTTTCTCTAGGGCTTGGTCATCACCAGGTGCTTCCAACTTATGTTTTGCACAATACCTTCTTAAGAGGCATCGGATGATGATCTGATAAAGTTCTGTGCGAAAAGATGGCAGTTCTCCTTGATAGTCCTCAAAAACAACGCAAAGCAGCAGCAGATTTAATGGGTTGCTTGGAAGAGCATGTAGGAAAGTGTTTTCTTTGATTTCAGTAATAAGCCTCTCTCCTCTGGCCAAAT